ACTTTGGAACCAGGACAACTCCAAGAGCAATTTAAAAACATTCTAGACCTGCATCCAGACCCGCATTCCTAAAATTTTGGATTCCCAAGTTTTCATTACTGCAATTGTTTTTGGCAATTTTTTTATGTGATTTTTGCAACAATGTTTTTTGTACAATAATAATTTTTATAACTTGGAAATAAATTTAGGAATAATGAAAATTAATTGTGAAATGCAGCAAAAAAAAAAAAAAAAAAAAAAAACATCCATGTAATTGTTTGTACGTAAAGTAAGAACATATATGCATCAAATTGTCTTTAAATTAAGTGGTAGCAGAAGAATTATTGTTGAAATTTTAAAAGGTAAGCTTAAATATTAATGCAATACTTAAATGCAGCGATCAATTTCGAGTTCTTCTGAAGTTTATTGTCACCTATCAAATCTACTCTTCCCTACCTATTGTGATGAAGGCCCAATCAAGAGCCCTCCACAGGAGCTAGCTTATATGCTGTCAGACAGGGCAGCTTTTAATCAATATATATATATATATATATATATATATATATATATATATATATATATATCTGATTGAATAAACTACAGACACTAAGTCTGCTAATTTTTAACAAAATCTGTTTGTACTCACGAATAATCTTCCATGTATTAATGTTGAAGGATGAGAGAAATGTGCTATAGCTGTTCAAATTTCTTTTATTTTCATTTCCCAATTCATGAGTATGAACAGATTTTGTTCATAATGTCTGTAATTTATTTAATCATATATATATATATATATACACACACACACACAAACACAAGAGAGAATATGGTATACAAATTTCTATATATCAGAACAATGCTAGGCAATTGAATGACAAAGCATATTTCATTGCCATGAAGGACTTCATCGGACTAAAGTAATGTTTTAGTTGATAGAATTATATATGTGTGGGAGGGTGAGATATAAACACAATCATTGGTTGTAATTATGTACCAAGTGGAAACAATGAAGATGTAGAAATGCTGAATTTTAATCTTTGAGTTCAAATTATTTTTTTAAAAAAACTCAAAAACACTTGCATTAAAATATCCCACCAAAATTAAGATCAATTTATGCAAATCCAAATGAAAACAAAGAGTGTACTGGAAACTATTAAGAGACTGCTATTTTTCATGAATATTATGGCAAATGGCATCAGTGCCTGATTTGCTTCATGCACAAATCAATAGTGTGTCCTTGCGCATTATTTGGAGTGAAGACTATACATATGGGCATTGGCATCCAAAAGAATCTGGGTAGCAAAAAATGGTATTAGGAGATCATTAATGCCCCCAAAACCAAAACTGTAAAGGATCCAACAAAATCCGTAAACAAGATAACTGTCGATTTAAAAGTGAACCCCACAAGATCATCAAAATGACCGTACATGATGACCTAGGATTTCTGGATGCTAAGGTATCCCTTCAAAGAGTAAATAAAGCTGAAAAGGTCCAAAAATGTGATTGAGTGCCTCAAGAATCATGAATTCACCGTTAAAAATGATGATGCAATGTTCACAGTGGATGCAGTTTTCAACAACCAAAACAACTGATGCCTCTTGGAGTCAACCAGAGATCTCAAGAGAATGTACATGTCTAAACATCTAGCCTAGGTCATGGTGTTGGGACTGAAGCCCTCCAACAAGAAAAGATGCCTCTATTCGTCTACAAGTCTGGAGAAGAGGTCCTGAAATATCCTGTATTTCCATAATTCAAGGCCAACTATCCAAATGTGTGGAGTGAGAATAGCGCTCCCAACCACAGAACCAAGAAGGTATATAAAGTCTGCAAAGCTAACCTTGTTGATTTTCAGCCTCCACCTCCAGCCTGAATCTGAACATACTAGATTACACAGTGTGGGGAGCAGGTCACCTACAAGACTTTCTACCCAAATATCAATTCCTTCTAGGTTGCCATCAAGAAGAGGTTCAAGAAGTTTTTGTTTTTCAGCTTTTCAAAATCATGTTATTTCTTTGAGAATAGTGGCAGCTACATTAAATGAATTAATCATTTTGATATTACCTACTAGTTTTATTAATATCCTTTTGTATTCATTGGCTTCAGTCAGTGGTGTACCATGCATGATACACACTTAGGTGATCATGTATCTTTCAATATATAAGGCAGACATTTTCCTGTAGTAGGTTGCCATTTCTTTCTGCAGGAGATGAGTTGCCATCCAAGGCTATAGAACCCGGTCTGTCCTGCTATTTACCCATAGCTGGGAAGAGAAGAGGATTAACTCCTTTCCCAAGGGTATTAGCATGTAAGTGAATGTAATGAATTCAACTGGAATTTGAACTCGGCTCTCCAATTTCTCAATCCAAGCTGCTATCTATTACTCAACTCCTTCATTGGCTTATTCATACATATAATCAGCAAGTTTTGAAGATCATGGCAATTTTGCTACTTTTTTTTTCCAAACTGGGGTAGGTATATATATACATATATATATATCTCGAACAATTAAAAAATTAAAATTTTCAGACACACTGGGTTGTATATTAATAATTTTTGTTTTATTATTTCAATTAGATTCCTCAACTAGTTTCGGCCCACATAACCATCATCAGGAGAAAAAAAATTTCTGCTTGTTAGTAGCAGTGAACTACAGGAATATATATATATATATATATGTATGTGCGCACACACACAGTGCAATGTGTAAATTGTAGCCATTTTATATTTTTCATTTCATGCATGCATGTTGTTTGTTTTTGATTTTGCCAACTACAAAGTATAGCAGGGTGAGTTGGGCACCATCTATAAGAAAAAGAGCAGCATGACACAATTCACTTTGCCAGAAATTTGGAAACTGCTTGCTGTACTGCTTGGCATTCATGCTGGAAGCTTCTATACAAACATTTCAGAATGTTTGGTGTATCTGAGGACAGTACAGAGGATTCAAAAAAGTTGGATGAATCTAATTGTGATTACAAGGGTATTAGGCATGATCACTAGTGATGGCAACATTATGCCTCCATTCATCATCTTCCTACAGGGCCTTAGACTCAACATGGAGGCCTACGTCATGCCCTGAGGAGGTAGTGCTGCCCTGGGTGAAGAGGGTGGCTGCTGGAAGACCCTATGTCTAACAAGAGGACTCTGCACTATGACACACAAATAGGAGAACCCAGTCATGGAAGTCAGACAATTTCTGCAACCACATTACCCCTTACATCTGGGCACCTAAATCACCAAACTGCAACCCCCTTAATTATTATGTGTGAGACACATTTGAGTCTGAGATCAACAAAATTCCTTGTAACACCCAGCAAAGATGAACTGAAGGCAAGGATTATGGCAGCATTCACCAACTTAAATAAGGAGACAGTCCAGAAGAGTTGCAGGAGATTCTGAAGTTGTCTGGAGACCATGGTTAAGCCAATGGCGAGTTTATTGAATAAATTTATTTATTTCAAGATATTTTTATGTAATTTTGGCAAATATATCTGTTAAAACGAGATATCAGTGTTATTTTCATTTTTGCACAATTTAGACAACAATTTATCCATCGCTCTCTCTTTCTCTCTCTCTGGGGGTGTGTGTGTCTATATAAATATCTTATGCCCATATCATGTTGAAACACAGGTTTTCATCCAAGCATCAAAGTTAAGCAACTTTGAGCCTTATCAGTATCTAGAGGAGTAACTGCTTGAGAATACCATGTGCTGTAAGCCTGGGTGTTGTAGGTGATATAATGAATAATGACTTGGAATTAAAAATCAAAGAGCCAAGTTTGAATTCCAGCAGAGTTAGTTACATGCACTTATATTCAAATACCATTGTAAAAGACATGAATCTCTCTCTTCTCAGCTAAGTAGCAAGATGGCTTTAAAACCTTCATTGACAAACAGCCTAAGAGAAGGAAAACTGAATCTAAACCAGACTGAAAAAGGATTGGTAAAGGGTTGATGAGTCAATTGCCAGCATTCAGCTAAATGATGAAAAATTTTTACCTAAAAAAAAAAAAAAAAATGCCTGCATTTGTAACATCACCTGATATGTGGCACACAGTGCACCAGCACACCACATGGTGCTGTGATGAAGGGGAGTGCGCATTGCAGGTCATAGGCAATAGACCACTTTTAAAAAAATTCATCTGTGTAGATTGTTCAGTAAGAACTTTAGAATTTACTGAATCTTCAGCTGTTGTTCTCAAATCCACCCATATGCAAAGCATACATACGCACACACACATTAAAATAAAATGTATATAAGTATATCCACCTATCCAGGATGCTGAAATTATTTTAGCAATATGACGTGCATGTATTATAAGTTTGGTTTGGTTTAAAGCATATCAATGTCAATAGGTTATTTAATACTGACAAAATTTCCATTGTTGGTAATATTTTTTTCCAAAAATCTATTTCTGGTAATATATTTTCCTTCAAAAATCTATTTCTGGTAATATATTTTCCTTCAAAAATCTATTTCTGGTAATATATTTTCCTTCAAAAATCTATTTCTGGTAACATACTTTCCTTCAAAAATCTATTTCTGGTAATAATTTTCCTTCAAAAATCTATTTCTGGTAATAATTTTCCTTCACTGGTAATTTTTTTTTCAAAAAGTGTATAGCTTGTAATGTTTTTTTTTTTTTTTTTTTACAAATTATTTCTAGTATTAAAACCTATTTTTACACTCGTATAGTGTTTTGACCCCATTTAGAGGGTTAACTATTTGCCCATAGCTGGGACCCTAACAGGTGCTACCACCCCAGGCCAGGAACACCAGCAATTAAGAGATGGTTCCACACTCCTCAAAACCTCTTGATCAAAGGCCTTGCTGTTGGACGTAGTTTATCGTCATACCCAGGACATTGTATTATAAGTCACTTTTGAAAGGTTTCATATGAAAATAGAATGCTACAAACAAATGAAGCGTAATCTCTATCTGTAATTAAAGAAATGAAAGAAAGTTGTTTTTTTTTTTTTTTTTTTTGTTTTTTTAAATTAGATTAGAAATTAATCACTTACCTTCTCACCGGGATTTTACCACTTGGGTTAACCATTAAAGATAATTTCATCCAACTGAAGAAAAAAAAAAAAAGATATATATTGATATTTTTCTTTTCTAAGATATGGAAAGAAAATGTTATATACTTTATGTAATATCTGTAAAATTAACACTTGCTTTCATTCAATTGTTGAAAAGATTTATGCCAGAAAAAAGATGTGCATCTGATGAAAAAAGATGTGCATCTGATGAAAAAAGATGTGCATCTGATGAAAAATGCTGGAATGAATAATGAATGAATGAAATTTAATCATCAATCAGAGAAAATTTACTAATATTTTTTTTTTTTTAGATATTTACAGAATTTATCCTAGTCTGGCCTAGATCCAGCTGATTGGGTCATCCTGTAAAGAGTAATCAGTTTTCTTATATATTTATTTGCTGAAGTACCCACTCAAGGTTAGAGGTCAAACTGGTACTATGATAGTAAGTGGTAAGATTCACAGTCAAATTATATGAAACTACAAGATATAAACCTTGTTCCAACAACTTGGACAGATTTTAAATGTAAATTAAGTTTAAGTGTCTAATGATTTTTTTCTTTTAGATTTGGCAGACATTTGGGCAGTATTATTTTTCACACATAATTGCCATGACTTAAATAACATTATCCAATAGAGAAATAAATTTTCACCAATAACACTGATTTTGATCCGTCTTAATGAAACACCCTTTATATATAGTTCTGAAAGGTGGTCCCATATTACTAGTAGTAGTGAGTTGTCTGACATAATTGTGTAGAAATATGAACAATGTCTGAAAAGTAAAGTACAATATATTTAATATTTGTCTATATCTCTGACATGAGGTATTATGATTGCTTGTATTATTTTCATTATTTGGAATGTTATCCTCATCTTCATTGCCATATTCACAACATTTCGGCCATAGTACACTCACCTGAAGAAGGCCGGAGCATACAATGGCCGAAACATTGTGGATATGGCAATGAAGATAAGGATAACAGTCTGAATAACATAAATAATACATACAATATATTTACTAATCCAACATGTTTATTACTAAACCAAAAAAATATTTATGTTACCAGCAGTACTATTCTAATTTTCTATATAGTTTACCAAAGAGATTGATATACTTGTCCCATCAGTGCATGAACATATTAATATCATTGTCAGAATGTGGCTGGTGCCAGCTTTAAATCTTTGCAACAAGTTTGAATGCCTTTTAAGCTACATTTGAATATGCCTATAATCAATGAGAAAGAATATAGGCATATTCAAATGTAGACTAGTAGGCATTCTTACTCTATATTTCTTCTTGCATGTCCCTATATTTCGTACTATTATTACATCTATTTCAGTATATTAATAATTATCTAAGATCCAAATTTTTTAGAAGAAACATTAATTTTTGACTTATGTTTTACGCCTTATTTCAGTTGCTCTTCATTATGGAAGTCATGTTTGATATAATAGTCTTTAAATTTCTTTGATGAAGCATTATCAGTCATTATTAAATTTTATTATTAATAATTATTATTATTATAATATTATTTTATTATTATATATTATTATTATTATATTACATTATTATAATAATAATAATATTAATTTTATTATTTAGTCATTATTAAATTTTGACTAGGGTTTCTGTCGTCTTATTTTTGTTACTTTCAACATAAATCATAGGCCATTATCATACAGTTCACAGTGAGCAGCACAGATTAGTGAGATTTGAACCTGCATCCTTTTTACCTTTTAATATCTCAGTCAGTCCATCAGTAAATTTGTATAAACAAACAGACACTAAACATATATCCAATAGTGTTATTAAGATAAGATTAGAAACTTAAATTATACTTTGGTTATCAAGTTGATCCAATCTGTTACTGCTAAGTTTATAAATCTGTCTTTGATGTCAACCAAAATAAGACACCTGAAATCGGTTTGGCAACAAAGGCATGTTTTCTTTATTTTTTTATATAACTTATATTAAATATATATATATATATTTTTTATCATTTACACATATCTTCTATGAGGTCTGTCCTGAAAGTAACCAGCCATTTAATATTAACAGAAAAATAGCCAATGGCAATGGTGCTTTATCCACTTCTGAGTACTATTGTGAATTCATACACATCACAATGTCCCTTCCATTCTTAAAAACTGTCTATAAAGCCCTCTTTCAGGATCACCATCAGCTGCCTCATCATATTATTCTTAATCATGTCCATGGCATTTCAAAAGTAATTTTAGCTTTGAGAAAATCCAGAAGTCACTGAGAACCAAATCTGGCTTATAAGTGGGCTGACAGCCATGTGTAAAGTGACATTTTGCCAAAAAAAAAAAAAAAAAAAAAAAACCTGCATCTGAAGAATCTACTCAACTCAGCCTTTGTGAACGTTAACTGTTGCAGTATACAAGCTCGTTCAGTGGCATCTTACTGCTGAAAGAGTGTTCATGCATTTGATTCGTTGCCAAGTTTCATCAAGGCCACACAACCGGTTCTCATGATATTCAAAATGGCAGGATATGTTCCAGACGGATCTCATATGTTTGCTATTATCTACACAATGATACGCTTATATTAATTAAGAACAGGTTATCCAATCTGATTCATATATCTATTAGTATACTCTCAGGCATTTTTTTTAATGACTTACAGTTTTATAACCTATAAAACACATTTTAAGAAACTAAAATTTCTCTTATATTTTATAAACTGATGGTCAGACAACTTTAAGTATCAAGTAGCAAATATAAAATAGTTGCAAGCAATCTAACCTATATCCCTGGTAGAGTTTATAAAATGAGTATGTCAAGTTTAAATAAATCTAATGATTATACATACACTACCAGCAAATACTAAAATTATATACAGGATGTAAAATTTCTTTAATACATTTAATGTGTAAACAGATATCATGAATATTAATTCTTCAAAAAATTGAGCATATACAGAAATGCATTACAAATTATTTTACTATATAAATGCATAACAAATTATTTTAATACTGGCTATTAATGTAATGTGCAATAGCAAAAATAGGATTTATTAAACAAATGTATCAAAAGTTGTATTCTCTTTCATAACTTCATATTTAATGACATAGCAAGTACTAAAAGCATATCAAAATTTATTAAAAATTATTTTACTATATAAATGCATTAGAAATTATTTTAATACTAGCTATTAATGTAACCCATGATATCACAGATGGGATATATTAAACACATTTTAAAATTTAATTCACTTCAATAAATCTATACAGAATAAAAATTCCAATGGTAGATCATTTAAGACTTGTCTATGTTCTGTTAGAAAACCAATATTAGAGACATGCCTACAAGGTAAAAAGAGTATATTGTATCCCTTCCATATATGGATCTAGAAATTGTCCATTCTTAGAATAAATACAAGATAATTGTAATGGCTCTAAAATCAATTAAACTCAGAATGACAATATTTTGACATTAATTCTAGCCTCTATGAATGTGTGTGTGTGTGTGTGTGTGTGTGTGTGATGCGGCATTCACCCTGGGCGGATTGAGCCGGCTTCTTCCTGTTGTGAGAAGAAGATTCTTGGGATAAATTACAGAAGTAGGGTACCCAGGCCTACTTGGATAACGTTCTTGCTTCCCACAGACGCAGAGACAGGAACGACCAGAAGCCGCCAGTTGCCGATGCAGACACTCCTTGGTTTTCACCAGAGCCCTTGTTAGCCGGCGTGTGTGTCAGACCTGTCCACCTTTTGGTGGCCTTACCAGGAACGGTTCGGACACATAGCTCTGACACTACCGTTTACACCCCAAACCCCCACCGACTGTGAGGTAAGGTTGGACTTTGGGGGCTTACAGTACCAGGTGTTCCCAAGCAGTCCCCCATCTAAGTACTGACCTGGCTTACGGTCAAATCACGCTGAAAACACCGGTTCTCGTTCGATCACCGAAGTTAAGCATCGTAGAGCCAGGTCAGTACTTAGCCTCTATGAATACATAAATTTGGTTTCTAGTTTGTTTTTGTTTTTTTAAACTAAAATTTTCTCCTCTTATCTAGTTTCTACCTACACCACAGAATGTGTTTAAAAGAAATAGAAAATGTAATTAATTATTATGTAATTATGGTATTAACCAATCAAAGATGTCAATGAAGGTTTTTTCAGAAAACTGTGAGTAACATTAATGCTTAAAAAATTGATTTGGATTATTTAACAAAATTTTAAAATTTTGTTTTAATTGAAAATTGTTTTAACAAGTTTTGGCACTCAATATATACATTAGGTATTAAAAATTAGAAAGTCTGAAATTGTTGATAGACAGAATTTAACAAACTTAAGATAAGGTTATTATATGTCTAGATTATCTAATCTGCTTCTTCTTTTAGGAATAACATAGCCCAACAACAAGAATGTTAAATGTCATTATGACCTCCAATCCATTTATTTGATGAATTAGATTGAGATTTGTTTTAAAAATTCTAAGATTTTAAAAATTCTAAGATTTAAAACACACACAAAAAAAATTGAGTGTAATTTTAAATCATAGTTTAACCTCAACATGAAATGCTAAACCAAACACAGATCAGGATTATCAGATATTAATCTTCATTCAAATCCAAGAATTAAATTTTATGTAAAAGCTTGAATGGATTACTACAACCTTAGAAAGCTATCCAAGATTATGGCATCAAATTTTATTGAGTTCAGAACAATCACATTCAATAGAACATGTTTGAAAGAGCTTGATTTCTAAATCTCTGTCTCTTGTTTTATATATATATATATATATATATATATATATATATATATATATATATATATATATATATATATAGTATACTCTCCTGATGTATTTCATGTATGAGGGTCAAGCAGCTTAGTTCCTAGGAACCGAGAGCCAGACACCAGCACATATGATTTGATTATAGTGGTGAAGGTTTTGCGCAAAACGAACTACACTTTTTGAAGGGCCAAATATAGAGACCTGGTGCACGATGTGCCACAAGGTCCCCAAACGACCCTCTGCAGGTTTTGAACTCAGTGTTGTCCTTCTCCCAGACTAGTTGCCATTCAAGGCTATAAAACCTAGTCTGTCCTGGTATTTACCCATGGCTCTCTCTCTCTCTCTCTCTCATATATATATATATATATATATATATATATTTGAATAAAAAACAGACCACGTTAAGATTCCATGTAATAAGCTATTTCACCATAACCCCTTTAACAGGGTTCTGGATCATCAGACTTTACTTCCAAAAGCTAAAATGAAAAGAAATTCACACGTTTTTGACGGACCTCATCAAGTATACGTAAAATTAACGAAGTGAGGAAGTGAGGTGGGAGAGAGGATATGAGTGTGTCATATGTATCATTTCAATTTCCTATTTTTAACCCCAGTGTGTCGGCTAGATGTTGCTCAAATTTAAGGCTCTGAATTTTACATTGAGCTCTCTGGATATCATCCTCCTCGGGTCTACCCATATGGATTACCTAAGTTTGCATAAACTAAATATATATATATGTATATATATATATATATATATATGTCACATATGAAATGGACAAAGTCTGACAATTATTTTATTAAGACATTTTTTTATGTTTATCTGTTCTTTTTATAGATACAAATATTTAAGTAAATGCTATATTTATAATAAACAGTATTAACAACATTTACCAGCATAAATGTCCGAGAAATTTTCCCAGAAAATATGCGTCCTCGGACAGGGATTGAACCTGTATCCTATACGGAACTGTCATATAGCCTGATGTGCCTTAACCGATTGGGCCACAGAGGAGCATTCAGTTAGCAAGGTCAATTTTACTGTATTTAAACACAATTCTCTACGATTTTCTCTCGTACATTCATATCTGCTCAATGGCTACCCAAATGTAAACAAATGACGTCACACATTTTGAAATGGACAAAGTCCGACAATTACTAAGACATTTTTGTCAGAGGACACATATTTTCTGTGAAAATTTCTCGGGCATTCAGGCCGGTAAATATAGTTAATACTGTTTATTATAAACAGAGCATTTACTTAAATATTTGTATCTATAAAAAGAATATATAAACATAAAAAATGTCTTAATAACATTATATATATATATATATATATATATATATATATATAGATATAGATAGATAGATAGATGCCTCTTAAATATATCTTTAAAATAAGAGTTCTTTACAAGTGCTTCTGTTAAATGAGTCAAATGTTAACATCAATTTCATCAGTGGAATTATTATAGATAACATCTGGCCAATCAGTGAATAGTCATTCTAATCTATCCACTACCTGTTAAAACTTCAGTAATCAGGAAAAAAAAAAGAATACTGAACTATTACGTGACATCTGACCTTTACAGCAGCGAATGTTGGACGATTTCCTCAAAAATAAAGAAGAGACTCGACGCAACGGAGATATCATTCTACAGAAGGATGCTAAGGATATCATGGACCGAGCGTGTGAGACATGATGAGGTTTTGGAGAAGATGCAAACAAGGTGGAAGCTTATACTTAACATCAGAAAGAGGCAGATGAAATTTCTGGGACACGTAATAAGAAAAGAAGAGACTCAAGTCAACGGAGGTAGGGTTCTACAGAAGGATGGTAAGGATATCATGGACCGAGTGTGTGAGTAACGATGAGGTCTTAGAGAGGATACAAACAAGGAAAAGGCTTATACTTAATATCAGGAAGAGGCAGCTAAAGTTCCTGGGATACATAATGAAGAAGAAAGCCCTGGAGAATCTGATGCTCACGGGTCGAATAGAGGGAAAGAGAGACAAGGGAAAACAGCGTGTGACATTCTTGGCGAAGTTGGGCAGGTGGATGGCAGAACGTGGTCTGGGGGAGGAAGCAGAGGGAAGGAACTTGTTGAGAGCTACAAGGGATAGAGGGAGATGGAGAGCCATGATTGCCTACGACATGGCACATAAAAAGAAAAGAAAGAATCAGGAAAAATTAGAAGAGGGAATATCATTTTGAATTTGATTACTCAATCTTCAAGAGTTCACCCAAGCAATGTTGAGTGAACATTCTTTGACAAGAATATCCATTAATTCATTGGCTAATATTTTTCAATGCTATGAATCTCAACATTAATTCATTCTCATTGTCACTCATATACAGTGTCACTTGAAAGTTTATGATCCTCCACCACCACACGAACATGTTTATAGTAATTGTGAAAAAAATCTAAATAAGCCTATTAAATGTACATCCAAACACCAATTTGTAAAGTAGATTTTCCAAATAATGAACACAATAGAAAAAAAAGGATATATTTTAATTATTTATTTAAAAAAAAAAAAAGATTTATTTCACCAACACTGAAAATTTGACTTGTGCAAAAGTACATTAACGCTTATAGTTAGTACCTTGCAGCAATTACTTCAACCAAACATTTTCTTTAAACACTGACCAGTCTCTGGCAACCACTGCTGAGGATTTTTGTCAACTTCTTGCAAAACTCAGTCAGTTAAGAAAGGTTGGAGGAACATCTGACATGAACTGCTAGCTTCAGGTCTAACCACAATATTTCTCTTGGATTGAGATCCAGACTTTGACTAAGCCAATCCAGAGTATGGCCTCTTTCTTTCTATTAAGCCATTCCTTGGTAGTTTTGCTGGTATGTTCAAGTGTTCTCCGGCAAAATTTAAATGGACAGCTTTGTTATTCACTGAGAACAGAGGCTTTCTTCTAGCAACCTTTCAATGAATACCATATCCATTCAATTTTCATCTGATTGTAGACACATGTATATGTACTCCAGATGCTGCCAGAGAGGTTTGTAATTTTCTCAAGGTGATGTGTGGGTTGGCCTTATTATTTCTCAAGTGTTTCTTGATGATAGCTTTGATGGATGCCCACTATTAGGCAGAGTTGCAGTTACATTAAATGGTCTCCATTTGTAAATTATTTATCTTACAGTGGATGGATGAAGCTGCCATCTTTTTTTATATGGTTTTATAGCTTTACCCAGACTGATGTAAAATTAGTACCTTCTCCCTGATGTTCTCAGATATCTTTTTTCCTCTAAGTATCATTGATCTGTGAAGCTATACCTTGGCAGTACAGTAGTTTAACTGGCTTCTCCCCTCTTTTAATGTGAGTTACAATTTACTAAGGTTGTCTCATTTGATTGTTCAGCTTAAATTGAATAATTAAGCACTCATATGTTTCAGCTGAATTTACCTATTTAACTTCACCAATACAGAGGGCTTTCTCATTAGCATATGTCAGATTTTCAATTTGGGAGAAATAAACTCTTTAATTTGAATAAATAATTAAAATACATCCTTTTTTTTGTTTGTGTTAATTATTTGGAAAGTCTACTTTACAAATTGGTGTTTGGATGCATGTTTAATAGGCTTATTTACAATTTTTTCACAATAGCAATGGCCATGTTGTTGGGTGGGGTCACAAACTTTTAAGCAGCACTGTGTACACATTAACTGGTCTCAAATACAAATATTCTTTCCCATTACCAAATTTGATACTGAACTAAAATTTACTAATGTGTAAAGATACATTTCTCAACACCATTGTGATGTCACTAAAAATTTACATATAAATTTACATATAAATTTCTATTACTTTATTTCTGGTTTTATTCATGTGTCTCATATTCAGGAACATTCTGGGAATTTCAAATTGGACTCTTTATTCAAGTCACAGAGGTAGTCTATTCTCCTTCCACTGTATAAGGGGACATAATTTGTATTAGTTAATTCTTCTGTTATTTTGTTCTGGTAATAATGCTTCTGCACATTCTACTGAATCAGAATGTATAGATTTAACTCTGACCCAAAGATTAAACTATAGAAAAAATGGACAAGTGAATCTAAGCTTTGATTAAATGTTGTAGTTTTCTCAGTCAAGCAGTGGAATGAGCAGAAGCAGCATCACAAAAGAATTAACAAAAGGAGCAAATAACAGAAGCATAAACTATCATGAGTTATCTCCCCTAGCATGTCTAGTCTAGTTCCATGAAATGAATAAAAATTTCAAAATGGTTGTAAGATAGAATGGTCATTTTTGTCGTCATATTTCTTCATCATTTTGTCTATGAGAAGAATCATTAATATATTCAACATTGTTCTAATCTCTTTATATATTTACTTTTGTTAACACTTCTCGTTGATCCTAAGTAAGAAAATAGACGAATGGATCAGCCAAAATATATTAACAACAAATTTAAGCATTTGAACAATGTTGGAGACAGAAATCAATTTGTTGTTATTTTGTTTATTGTATCCCGTCCTTTTACAATCACTTTATTTTATTCTCAAGTGATATACTACGTGACAGACTAAGTCAAAATTCTTCACTTGCGGGTATGAGCACTCTACAGAAATGCAAACTAATTACCATATTTTCCAGCTTACAAGATGCTGTAGCTTGAAATATGCACCCTAATATTAGAAAGTGATTTCTTAAGAAAAAAAAAAGAAAGTCATTCTAATACAACAAAACATTCGCCCTGCACCCCTCACATACTGGTGCCATGTATTGTTTACATTAATCACTTATCCAATTTTGTTTGTATAGCAATGACATACTAGTCAAGAGCAGAAAGGCTCCAGAGCATGTTTAAGCTTGTGGCTTGGCTCCAGGAAGGTTTATAGTCTTGGAAATACTTGTGACAGATAAGTACTGAGGTTACATCATATAAAAGGCTGAATTAAATAGATAGCTAACATATGTAATGACTCAACATACAAATCCACATCCCTATCAGTCAAGCCAAGTAGGTGACCGTTAAAGCTTATTTGAGCCTTGGTGTTGCCTTACATTCGTCTTGGAAAATGCACACATATTTTTCAGAGTATTTTTGGGAAAGAAAGTGAGTCTTGTAAGCCAGAAAATATGGTGATTGTTTGTTTTTTTTTTTAATTAATGCGTACATAGAAAAAAATATATACATTACTTCAAATATTAGAAAGAGACTTCTAAGGGAAAAAAAAAGTCCTTCTCATACAACACATTCAACATTCATCCCTCAAATACTGGTGCCATGTATTGCTTACATTAATCACCCATCCGATTTTGTTTGTATGGCAATGACATACTAGTTAGTGGTTAGTAAATATACTATACATCTTTCATTGTCCAAGGGTGGTTTTAAATCATTTTGACGAACTCGTTATTGGTGATAATTTCCAAGACAAAAAAAAGCTTGTGATACGTGTAAACAGCCTTCTGGTAACTGATATGTTCATGACATAAGAGTCTAAGCAAACCTAAAGCATTAAAAGATCAAGAGCAGAAAGGTTCCCACTGCTGCTAGTAAACAGAGCATGCTTAAGCTTGTGGCTTGGCTCCAGGAAGGCTGAATTAGATAGATAGCTATAGTGTAATGACACAACATAAAACTCCACATCCCTATCAGTCAAGCCAATTAGGTGACTGTCCAAGCTTACTTTAGCCTGGGCATTGCCTTACATTTGTCTTTGAAGACACACATATTTTTCAGGGTATTTTTTTAGGAAAAGAAGTGCCTCTTGTAAGCCAGAAAATAATATAATCTATTATGGGTTGAACATTCTGAAAGAATTATGGTCAGATTTTGAAAGGGGGATTTTTAAAATTGCTGTAGGAATGTGGTGGGCTATTGTTATACACTACAGAGATATGACTGGAATCAGTTTACCTCTATCAGAAGCTAGGAAAGATGGAGAGCAGAAAAAAAATCTTAGTTACAATGGTGACAATTAACAAACTGAGATATTACGGAGCCATATGATTCACTTCAATATGAAGAAGGTGGCCAAGAATTTACATCTCCATATTGGTATTGACCTACATACAGAAAAATCTTACTAACAATTGTAAAACTAAAATTCAAACATCCAGCTGAGTTTTTAGATTAATAAAACTAATATTTTTAATGTGATTAGATTAATAAAACTAATATTTTTAATGCGATCTGATTAATAAAACTAATATTTTTAATGCGACTAGATTAATAAAACTAATATTTTTAATGCGACTAGATTAATAAAACTAATATTTTTAATCTACAAGCAAAGTAGATAAAGCTTTTTGGCAAATAAACAAAATTGGCATTTATAAGAGACACAATAAACAATTGTCATCATTCATATGCTCAGACCAGGCTTAAAGTAAGAAATGTAGGCTACAATTATTAGTGTTCTGATAACATGCCATATAGGTGAGGTTCCATGTTACAAATGAGAATAAAAAATCCACTAAGTGATGAGAAATAATTGTCAAAATAAAATGTCCAACATAAAACAATTTATTGAATTTTATCAGAATTTTTTATTTTCATAACAATATTGCTTCTTATTTTCAATGATGACTTAATGCTATTTGAAGTACTGAAATAAACTTATCTACATTCCTTGAATTGCTCAGACGAGTATCCTTATCTTTGTTGTTTTGATCACTACATTTTGTGCATTGTGTTCACCAGCCTTCTTTGTAATTGTTCTGAGATTTTTGTCATTATATTGAGAAATATCTTCTTTTTTTTTAAATCCCTACAATTTAGGCCTGTACATTCACCACCCTTTTCTGGTTTTATAACATATAAGGTGAGACAGAACCCCTTATATATATATATATATATATATATATATATATATATATATATATATATTTTGTTTCAAATGTTACAAAAATTTTTGTTACTTAAATATGTTAATATTGCTAACTGGAGTGTTAATGAAAGCTAGATGACAAAAAACAGAAAGAAATGAGAGAATTCTGTTTACTGTCGCAAACCCTGTGTAATGTACACTTATGGACAGAATTATAATAATACCAGTGAATGAGTTCCATTCACCAGTACAAAAGCTTTATGCCAGTACATAACAGCATATATTAACTGACAAATAGGAGTAACCCTTTTTCTTTTTTTTTTTTGGGCAATGCATTATTCTTCCAATATATTTTTATACTTACTGTTTCTTGAGACAGGTCATTGGACATACATGTTTGGCTTTGAAGTTTGTGGTCATCTTCCGTAAGCCCTCGCACCATAGCTAGGGTTAGTGAAAAATATAAGAAAGACAATTATAAAATTTATTAATATTTTCAGCTTTGAAAAATAAAAGAAAAAGATTCAATATTCTTATAGTTTTAATGAGGTTTTTTCTTTTTATAATTTTATTAAGTATTACAAAAATATAAAAGTCTATCAAATGGATATTTTAATGCTTATTTAACAACTAGTACAATTACTCATTTAGTAATAAAATGAATGCAAAATTTTATACTAATGTGGTCAATACTTAAATTCAATATACACAAGACAATGAAGTCTGAAATCATTACTCAGTAATAATGGTATAAGAATGATAATTGGAAAAAAAAATCTTTTTTTTTTGCTGATGTTTCGGCTTCTGACTTTATCAAGGTAAAAATGAAAGCGAAATGTTTTTGTTGTTATAGTCACATTCAAAATTTAAAAACGAGAGAGATGCTCCTTTGTAAGCCTCTTTCTGGCTAATGTTAACTTCCTTTATACTAAGAGTTTTTTTTTTCTTTCGATGCTGACAATATAGTAAAATTCCCAGAACAATTATGTGGAGAAGACAAATTGTTATAACAATTTGTCTTATCCACAGAATTTTTCTGGGAATTTTACGATACAGTAATAATGGTTTACTAAATTCAGTTTTTTTTTTGTTTTTTTTTCTATTGTTCCAACCACTGGTCATGAATCAGAAACAAAAATTACACGTTGTTTAGGGAGTTAACTCTGGTATATTTAACATGGGTATCAGTCAGTATCTTTGAATACATGACTGACGAGGCAGATTTTTTCACACAGTAGGTTGCCATTTCTTTCTGTGGTAGACCAGTTGCCATACTTTATAGATTACAAGTATAGATGTGAAAAACATCTATAGAGCACCTGAATTTTCAAATCTAGGTTGATAACTGTAGTCATGTATGTGTATGTGGAATATATTAGTAGTTAAATCTTTTTTCAAGATACCTAAAGATGAGATTGGAAAATGCTGACTCAAGTGTCTCTTAAAGTAACTAGTCAGTCAGTTATGTGCCTTGCGTGATACACCCTTAGGCGATCATGTATCTTTCAATACATGACTGATGAGGTAGATTTTTTCACGCAGTAGGTTGCCATTTCTTTCTGCAGTAGAACAGTTACCATCCAAGGCTATAGAACCCAGTCAGTCCTGATATTTACCCATAGCTGGGGAGAGAAGAAGAGGATTCATACCTTTCCCTAAGGTATTAGCACATAAGTGAATGTAATGGATTCAACTGGAATTTGAACTTGGCTCTGCAATTTCTCAATCCAAGCCACTATCCATTACTCCACTATGCCTCTCATGGGTACCTACTGTGGTTTAATGCAATATTGAAGCATAAGGCTGTCTAATAAAAACTGAAGAATAACTATATTGAAGTTTATATAAACTCAGAGTTCCTGTAAAATTATTTATTACAATGTCACTATAAACTTTCATTTAAATTTTATTTTATTTCTTTATTCTGAATAAAACTTTTTATTGTTGCTATAACTCCTTGTCATTTTTACAATCACTTCAGTTTATATCAAACTGATATCCAGTATCAAGTTTAATGTTTCCACTTCATAGTATGACACCTCTACCTATGCCAATTTGGAGGCCACCACACATATGAAATGTCAATGATCACTTTAGTACAGTTATACTTTATAGATTATAAGAACAGCAAAGTATGGATTTGAAACATATCTATAGAGCACCTGAATTTTCAAATCTAGGTTGATAATTGTAGTCATATGTGTGTATTTGGAGTATATTAGTGGTTAAATTTTTTTTTAAGATATCTAAAGACGGGAGTGGAAAATGTTGATTCATTCATCTCTTAAGGTAATTAGTCAGTTATGTGCCATGCATGATACGCACATAGGCAATCATGTATCTTTTGATACATGACTGACGAAGCAGATTTTTTTTCCCCACAGTGGGTTGCCATTTCTTTCTGTGGTAGACCAGTTGCCATCCAAGGCTATAGAACCTGATCTGTCCTGCTATCTACACATAGTTGGAACAGAGAAGAGGGTTCATACCTTTCCAAAGGGTATTAGCATGTAAGTGAATGTAATGGATTCAATTGGAAAGTCAGTCAGTCAGTCATGTGCCTTGCATGATACACGCTTAGGCGATCATGTATCTTTTGATAAATGACTGACAAGGGACTCCCCCCCCCCACAGTGGGTTGCCATTTCTTTCTTCAATAGACCAGTTGACTTTCAAGGCTATAGAACTCAGTCTGTCCTACTATTTGCCCATAGTTGGGGAGAGAAGAAGAGGATTCATACCTTTCCCAAGGGTATTAGCACATAAGTGAATGCAATGGATTTGACTGGAATTTGAACTTGGCTCTCTGATTCCTCAATCTGAGCCATTATCCATTACTCCACCAAGCCTTCTCCAAAGGTAATTAGTACAAAATAAATACAATCAACTTTATCTGAAATGCAAACTCATTTGGTCTATTCTATTTTGCATGCTAATAACTCTTGATAATACTTTGAATCTCTCTCTCTCTACCTCCATCCCTCCCTCTCTCTCCCTTCCTCCATCCCTAAATGAGAATAAAATTCTAACATTCTGAAATATATGCCTCAAATCACTCAAAAATAAATGTCCAGGTAACATTGCTAGATTATGGTAAATGATCGCATATGCAAATTAATACATGCACACTTTCCAAAACAATAGGTTTACTCAGGCAACATTAATACATAATATATATATATATATATATATATTAATACAAAGCTATACTCTCATATGCATACAATATTGTGATAAATTATTCCATGTCTTTCACCTGTTGATATAAAACAGCTAGAGATATAGGTGGGCAAATTGTATAAATCAGACAATGTCTCTGAATTCTTTTGAGGGTCTGAAGGGTCCAACTAACATCAGTTATCCTTTTATTGTTTGTTTTGATATTTTAGTTTATTTCTAGGCTCATTACCCCCCCGCCGCCCTCATTATGTATCATCCACAGATTTTTGTATATATAATTTTATATATTAAGAAATGGACAAAGTCCGACAATTTATTTATTAAAGACATTTTTATGTTTAACGTTCTTTTTTATAGATACAAGTATTTAAGTAAATGCTCTGTTTATAATAAACAGTATTAAATAACATTTACCGGCCTGAAAATTTCTCGGACATTCAGGCCAGTAAATGTTATTTAATACTGTTTATTATAAACAGAGCATTTACTTAAATACTTGTATTATAAAAAAGAACGTTAAACATAAAAATGTCTTTAATATATAATTTTATAATTGTTAATTTTTATGTCATGGGTTGTTTTTGTAAGTTCCCTGAAAGTATTGCGGTATTGTGGTAAATGGAGGATTGAATGATGATGGATAAGTTCTTTTGGTGAATGTACAAATTGTAATGAATGAATAGGTCATGAATCTGATGAGCTAGGTATAAAATAGGGAGTGATGACCAGCCTCAGTCCATTCCCCCCACAATTTTCACCCTAGTGCCACAATTGTATTTTATATACAATAAACATAGACACTGTCTATATATATATGCTATATATGTTCAATGAGGACAGGTCTAGTAGTTATGGCCAGGAAAGTTGTTGAACATATTCCAGAGTATGTTGAATAGAGCAAATATTATCCTGCTGAAAGAGAATATCACCTTCCTATTGCAGGAATGGACATACATGGCACTGTTCAATATTCTTTCCCCAAACTCCAAAATTAAATACCCTCAAATTAGGTCGAGACTGTGAATTGGGTGAAAGCTGTCAGAAAAACTTTGTACCCCAGGTCTATATTACAGATGCAAACAATCAGCACTTGCATGAAAGAAGAACTTGCTTTCATCATTTGATTGTCATCTGATCTCGACAGGTGATTCTCTTTTATTATGACTGTCAGTTTAAGGACAGTCCCTCAACTTGACTTCTTCATTTTCAACTATGTTGGTTATTCTATACTCGGACTCACAAACAACCTTTTTTCTACTGACAGTGGAAGAAGAAGAACTAATGTTGTATATCCAGAGGCCATGTTAACCTAAGAAGGTAAATCATTTATTTTGGACATAATGTTTTCATTAACAGCTACTTTCTCATATATATAGATAGCATAAATTTACTTTCAGTTATTATCATTTGGTTTGTTGTGTTTTACGGCATATCAACCGCAATGGGTTATTTAATGCCGACAACTTTTTTTCCTGGTAATATTTTGTTTTGTCAAAATCTATTTCTGGTAATATTCTTTTCCTCAAAAATGTATAGCTGGTAATATTATTTTAAAACATGTATTGCTGGTAATATTTTTTCTTTCAAAAAGGTATTGCTGGTAATATTTTTTTTCAAAAATATATTGCTGGTAATATTTTTTTTTCTTCAAAAATTTATTTCTGGTAATAATTTTTTACAAAGTATTTCTGATATTAAAACCTATTTTTACACTTTATAATGTTTTTTACCTCAGTTTCGAGGAAAACTATTTGCCCCTAGCTGGGACCCTAACAGGTGCTACCACCCCAGGTCAGGGTGGACCTGGGAACACCAGCAATTAAAAGGTGGTTCCTCATTCCTCAAAACCTCCTGATCAGAGGCCTTGCTGTCGGACGTAGTTTATCGTCTTACCCAGGACAACAGTTATTATAATCTTTAAGAATATATATGTTTATAAAATATTATTTTTTCCTATGTTGTGATATTTAAAGCTACTTTTCCCTAGCCCATGTTAGATATACTGATAGTGTATATTCTGTCAATGAAAATACAACCAGACAGTGTAGTCAGTTACATTTACAGCTTGTTAACTTACCTTGGCTGTTTCTGGTTCTCTGGCAATCATCGGAGTGTAAATGATATTCACCAAGTCAAGTCCACTGCAGATGGTCAAAGTACGAGCATCCAGCGAACCCGTACCTTTGCTTTCCAAATCATTTATTGTTTTGGCTTCCTGCAGAAAATGAAACAAAAATGAAATAATTCAATCGAATAGTAAGAGTACTCAATATTCATATCAGAAGAAATAAAAGGTGTTCCAATAACTTGGACTGATTTTAAATATGAATTAAGTTTCAGTGTCTAATGATTTTTTCTTTTTATTTCATATTTAACAACATAGGTCTTTGGTAATTTCAACCATGGAAAGATTAGCAATCAAACATGTTAAAGTTATTAAAGCCTATTATGAAAATGAACATTCAATGGCTTTATTGAATGAGAAGTTCCCAGGTCACATCATCTCTCAAAACAGCAAAGTCAATTGGCCACCACGATCATGCAACTTGAAGCCTTTAGATTTCTTCCTTTGGGGTCATCTCAAAAGTAAGGTTTATACCAACAAGCCAAAAACAATTCAACAGCTTAAGGATGAGATAATAAGGCATATTGGTAAGATCGAGGAGCAACTATAGAGAGACGTCATCAAAAATTTTGACCATCAAATGGAGGTGTGCCACCAAAGCCTTGGCGGACAATTGCGCGATATTATTTTTCACACATAATTGTCATGACTTAAATAACATGATCCAATAGAGAAATAGATAAATTTTCACCAATAACACTGATTTATTTACTGCTGACTTTGATCTGTCTTAATAAAACACCCTTTATTGCCCAGTAAACTGTTTCTCTGTTTAAAAAAAAAATGAGCAATTTTTTTATAATTATTTTTAATTCCATTCATAGTAGTTTTCTTGTAATAGAAAAATTTACAAATCAATAAAATACAAACAGTTGATCTTCTGTAATTTTCTTTGTTGTTTTTGTTATTACAAGATTTTAGCTGATCTGTTCTACAGCTTTCATAATGTGTACAACACAAACAGCATGGAAAATGGAGGGTTTTTGGGGGTTTTTTATTCTTCAGGGTTCAAGAATTAAAGCAATGTTAATTAATGAAATTAGCTATTATATTTATAATACTTGTAAAATCAATAATGCCCCTCTATTGCATTGAATAACATGCCAATCACTGTTGCTTTGACAAAGTTTGCAATCAGGATATTGCCACAAATGTATGATAACTTGCTTTATCAGTCAGGTATTTAGAATCCAACTTACATGAGACATGAGTTATTTCTACCAAGAAAATAAAAAAAAAGATATTTTCCCAAACAGTCTCCCCACCACTAATTTCAACCATCATTATTTTATTATTTGGACCTAATTTGTTTATTTGGCTGATACTGTAAATGGGACTGAGGTTCTAACATTGATGGGTCAGGTTCAGAAAACAATTACCAAATAAGATAAATTGTGAGAGTGAGGCAATATATATATATATATATATATATATATATATATATATATATGTTTACAAAGAGGCTTTCATCCCTGGGAAGGAAATGCCCAAAAAATGTATAAAAGAAGAAAGAAAAGTTTAAAGGCAACAAAAATGTCAGTAAGTAGCCAACTTGTACAAATGTCAAGCAGGAAAGGTGTCATTAGTAAGAGACATTAGTAATACAGTCTCATCTGTTAGATTAGTAATGTATTAGAAAGGAAATAAAGAGGGTAAAAAAGAACATGTAAACAGAGAAGTCAAATAGAGAAGATGAATGAAAAGCCTAGGAAAGAGAGAAGATGAATGAAAAGCCTAGGAAAGAGAGAAGATGAATGAAAAGCCTAGGAAAGAGAGAAGATGAATGAAAAGCCTAGGAAAGAGAGAAGATGAGTGAAAAGCCTAAGAAAGAGAAAGATGAAGAAAGAAAAGATGAAAAGGAAAATACATAAGACAGGGAACAGACAGAAGAAGACAGGGAGGACAGACAAAGCCAGGGGAACAGACAAGAGAAAGACAGGGAGGACAGACAGAAATACAGGGAGGACAGACAGGGGACAGGGACAGACAGAGAGTAGAAGACAGGGAGGACAGACAGAGAGTAGAAGACAGGGAGGACAGACAGAGAGTAGAAGACAGGGAGGACAGACAGAGAGTAGAAGACAGGGAGGACAGACAGAGAGTAGAAGACAGGGAGGACAGACAGAGAGTAGAAGACAGGGGGAGGACAGACAGAGGACAGACAGAAGACAGGGAGGACAGACAGAGAGTAGAAGACAGGGAGGACAGACAGAGTAGAAGACAGGGAGGACAGACAGAGAGTAGAAGACAGGGAGGACAGACAGAGAGTAGAAGACAGGGAGGACAGACAGAGGACAGACAGAGGAGACAGAGACAGACAGGGAGGACAGACAGAGAGTAGAAGACAGGGAGGACAGACAGACAGAGACAGAGTAGAAGACAGGAGAGGACAGACAGAGGACAGAAGACAGGAGGACAGACAGAGAGTAGAAGACAGGGAGGACAGACAGAGAGTAGAAGACAGGGAGGACAGACAGAGGAGACAGGGAGGACAGACAGAAAAGACAGACAGACAGAGTAGAAGACAGGGAGGACAGACAGAGAGTAGAAGACAGGGAGGACAGACAGAGAGTAGAAGACAGGGAGGAAAAAAAAATTAAAAAAGGAGTTAGTAGTGGAAAAAAGGGTGAAGGAAAAGAAAGATTAAAAAAGGGAAATGACCTGAATAGAGAAATGGAAAAGACTAGGATGTGAGAGAAAAAATTGATGGCATGGAAATAGAAATGGAGAGAAGAAAATAGAAGACCAATAAAGAAACCTGAAAAACAAAGAGAAAAACAGAGAAAAATAAAGAAAAAAAAAACAAAGAAAAAAACAAAGAGAAATAGAGACTGCAGAGACAAGAGAGCAAGAAGCTCACTGGCTGGAAAAAGAAAATGTGGTAAAAAAAGAGGAACTTCTCAGAGCAAAGGAAACAGAAAAGGCAAAGAGAAAGTGTAGGGGAGACAAATTTAATATAGAAAATGAATGATATACAGGGAGAAAAGAGAGAACTGATAAAGGTCAGCAATGAAGAGAAAAAAGAAGACTCATAAAAAAAGAGCAAAAAAATAAAGATAGACTAAAAGAAAGGAGGGAGATAAATAATAAAAAGACATAAGAGATTAAAGAGCAAAAAGAGATTAAAAAACACAAAGAAATGGAAAAACAACTTAAGAGAAAAAAAAAAAGAGAAAAAGGAGAATATTTAGGAGGAGAGGACAGTAAAGCTTGTATGATCATTTGAAAGAGAGAGAGAGAGAGAGAGAGAGTGAAATGGCTATAATAAATGTTTTGAATTATTTTTCATATATAAACTTATGATAACACCTAATTCAAAGCAGTCCCAAAGAAAAACAATTGAATTAAAAAGGAGATAAAATAGCATCAAGTGAATTTGCCTATAGCCACAGGAAACAATAACAAGAGTTGTAACATTTATAATAAATAAATACATATTGTAAATATTTGCCAGTACAAAAGAGCAATCAACTGCATTTATTCTGGCCCCAAGCATAGAAGTGTAAGGAGGGTAGTTGGTTTTGGAGTTTGTACCCAAGCCCCATAAAATCCTACCCTAGTTACAGAAACATAGATTATCAATAAGCAAATCTGCCCTGATCTCTCATCAATGGCTTCTATCTCCCATGAGTGGAAGGCATAAAAAAAAAGAGCAATAACAATTGCACACTAGTTAATCTTGCATGACAGAGATCTTTGTTGAGTGCTATGTAGTTGAGTGCTAAAGTTGGTAAGGTCATAAAATTTTGGCTTCAGTAAATCTTATAAACAAACTCAAATTCTTTTTAATTTGGGAAACTAATTCTTTATTTTCTATCCATATTGTTTACTGATATTCACTGAATTATGGTAGTTGTGTTGAATCTCAATAAAATAGCTATTCCTATCCTGTGCACAATTTGTTACAGATTTTCTTCAAAATCTCTTAACTGAAATGCTCAGAAATCTGAGTTCAACAGATTCTAAAAGGAGTCATAGACTAAATCAATCAGTCAATGGTATCTTTATGTTCAGTTTGACAACTAGAGTTGAAAAAAGCAACAGTTAACTTGTTGTACATTAAATTATGGCACCAGACTGACAGGTCAATTATTGACCAGTAGAAAATTTGTCACTTAATCTTGGCTCAAGAAACTGAACAAACAATATCTTGGGCATGGTTACTGCATCTGTTTACAAGAAGAATTACATAAACCAAACAAGGAAACAGCTGTCTCTCAATTTTCATCTAATACCTGGGTTTTGGTTTTGTTTTTTTAATATGAAAGATTATTTGTTAAACTTTACCATCCAGTAAACAGCATAATAAATATAATAGTTTGTTCTAAGCACTACTTGGATAAACATATAAAGCACATACACTATATATATATATATATATATATATATAATTATACATGTAACTAGTTGATACCAATCATTTTTCAAAATTGACAGTAGATAATAAATAGATATAAAAATATAATAACTGTAGCTACTTTAGTTTCACAAAACAGGGATCTTCAGGCCACGTTAATATATTTTCATTTTTTAGGGTGAAACTTAAGTAGCTATGGTAGTTTTATATACATATATTATTACTCAATGAAATAGAATGTAAGCACTACTTTGTCATGAGGGATTGATGAAAAGTTCTTGGCTCTTTTGCAAAAAAAAGTCTGATACAAACATTTGAACAGATTTTGTGATGTGGTTCAGTCCAAAAACACTTATCTGCTAAGATATTTTTAAACACTAAAGTAAGATATTTTTTAAAGAAATGGAATAACTGTGTTTTAACAATGTCCTTATGCAACATTTATCTGGTATTATTAACATATCAGATTAATAATGTTGTAATACTAAAATGGAAACTGAATTTTAATGAACAATTTATCTAATTAGTTTTTGCTCAATTATTAACATTCTGTATTTTGGAAATAGTGAAACAAATAACTGGAAGTACTCCATGACAAATTATGAACAGTTCTTATATATACTAACCATTTAAAAAATATACTTATATATGCTAACCATTTAAAAAATATATATACTAACCATTTAAAAAATATATATACTAACCATTTAAAAAATATATATACTAACCATTTAAAAAATATATATACTAACCATTTAAAAAATATATATACTAACCATTTAAAAAATATACTTATATATACTAACCATTTAAAAAATATACTTATATATACTAACCATTTAAAAATATACTTTCACTGTGATCTTTAACCAGATCGTTATTAATGAAATTGATACTTATATATGTTGAAAACCTGTGGAGCTTTCTAAAGTTATATCTTAAGGAAAAATGAAGTGATTAAAAATGCAAGATGCTGTGGAATTTCAGAACACAAAATACATTATACGTTAATTTGATTTGTTGTCATTACAAGGAAACTGGTTCCAATTTTTTATTCAAAACATTTATCTTTGTAAAATACATTCTGTAATTATGAATTTTAAGTTATAACAATCTTTCTTGGAATTTCAATAACCTGGCTAATCAGGAAAAAGTTAAAAATCTGAAAAAAATCCATTAATCTGTTGCCATAACGTAAAAGGAATATGTAGTCTATTATAATTCATACATATTAAGTGAAATATCCTGGACATTAATAGCGTAAATATTTCCAGTAATCACTTCATTAGTTTTCTAAAAATTAGGAAAATTGCAAGTGGCTAATGTAGAATATACACACACTTCAAAATCTGGCCAATTACCAAAACTCAGAATTGATTTTGTAATCTTCTTAGTGCCACAGAAAGATTTCTAACACCCCCCCCATGTACACCAACACACACATACACAAATATGAAAAGTCATATGTGACATTTGACAATCAATTATTTTTCATATTCATATTAAGCCGCATTCATTTCAAACTTTAAGCTGACAACCATACAAACTCATAATTAAGCTTTTTGCACTGTGAGATGACATGAAAGTTCAATACTATACTCCAACAATATACAGGTTACAGCATTAATCTTGACTAAAATTATTATTAAACTTAGGGTAATGGAAAAGTGTGGAATGAAAGAAAAAATCTCAGTCATATTGAACACTAATCAATAACCTAATTAAAAAAGGAATGCAGAGTTAACTTACGTTTATCTTTGGTGCTGTTCCAAGACGGACATCATTCACTTGTGAACACTCTAAAATCTGTCCCTCCTGCCAAAAAGGAAAACAAATATTGATAAAAATAATAAACAACTTCAAAAGTGTTATACAGTTCCAATAATAAAAGTGTATTTTATGCTCTAAATAAATAATTTCTAAAATTATTATACATAATCAAGATAAAGAGCACTGGTCATTTTCTTTTATACAATCAAAAAGTGTAACTGATTCCAACTTGGAAAGGTCCAGGACCAAACAGATACAACACTCTGATCATCAAAGTAGAAAAGCATAATAATAGCATAGATAATATTTTAAGTTGCTTCAGGGCCAAATAATGCTTTCCATCAGTTAAACTAAAATGGAAATATAATATTTGTGTTTATATATATATATATATATGGAAAGATTTAAAAAATAAACTTCATTAAAACTGGAAATGCTTTCTTTTATAATTAACATTTGGAATCCACAATCAGTTAAATATTCATCAAATAACTGGGCTAGGAGATAGTTTTAATGAAAGTAAAAAAAATTCTGTGGATCTTATTATAAAAAGAACTAGTTTCCAAAATCAAACAATACACTCAGTACATTAGTTACAAAGATTACTGTCCTCCTTTGACTAATGATGAGCAACTAATTACAAATGATAACACATGACTTACTTTCTTTTGATGTTTTTGTTATTTCTATCCCAAAATATAATAAAAAAAACATTTTCTTTCTTTCAATTGCAATACGAAAGCATCAAAAAAGTAACATATTAGGTTTCATATTAAAAATTCTATTTGTTTTACACCATGAAAAATGGTATTGTATTTTCATAATTAAATATATTGTTTGTTAGCTGACACTAATAGTAGTGAATACTGGACAATCTCCTCACATATTTAGAAACTTGAAACAACAGAGATATGGTTCTAGTATATCTCTGTTGCTTTGAATTATTGATTCACCCTAATTTAGTAGTTTAGCTAAGTTTGGTACAAGGCTACATTACATTAAGAATTAAATAATAATAGTAATGGTCTGCTAAGCTAGTTTGCTAACCATTATACCAGAGTGAAGAACTCCGATTAATTTACTAAACCTTGCTTAGTCTGGCACAAGGCTGCATGTCAGAATCAAACTCACTATATTAGTCATGTTTTTGTGAGACAAGCTTGTTATCAACTACTCTATAAACACCTAGTTTATTTACAATAAATGAGTCTGGTTATAGCTATGGAGTACCCAGCAAGGAGAAAACTGAGACTAGCTTGTTAACCACCATCCTAAGGACAAGCACATTATTTGCTAAGCTTAACGTAGTTTGACATAATGCACTAGAACACAGTGAGGACCAAACCCACTACACTAGTGAATGTGTTTGCAAGAGGAGCTTGTTGACCACTATGCTAAGGTAGGATTTATCTTCTTATAATATTCAAACCTAAACTCTTTTTTTTAGGGGTTATATCTTAGTGTAACCCATGAATAATATCTGGAAATTTGAGGCTAGAACAAATAGTGAAAACATCAATTTCAATCTTTTTTTTGCCTGTCATTGTGTTAGAAAAAAAGTGATTACAAATTGTTATATAAGAATAAAGTGTCACTGCTAACACTTAGGTTTGAACATAGATCGCTAGTGAGCAAACACAGGTGATCCTATTATTGAATTAAGTGAATCACGTGATCATAGAGAAAACACAAGTAGGAGGTCACGTGACATCTAGATTGATAGTTATTTCTAGTCTATATTCTATTACTATTCAGAGCGTCATTTCTACTCTATCCTTTATTACTATATGAACCGCTATTCTCTACTCTATTCACTATACTATTTCTCTGTTCCGGTCACTACATGGTATACTTGTCGAGCAAGTATTATCGAGCAAGTACTATTAGTGCATGATTATTCAAAGTCATCTGACACTAGTAGTGTTCAACAGCGTACTATAGTTGTATGTGCAATTACAATGCCTCTACTACAACGAGCATTACTAAAGTGACAACAAGTATTCATTGACATCACAAAAGTGGCAACAGGTGTTTCTTGACATCACAAAACTGATAAAACTGAATACAAGACCCCTGGCTTTAAAAAGATACCATATCAAAATTTTTAATTTTAACAACTCTTTTTTTGATGACACTATGTTGTATTCACTCTGCACCTCAAGGTTGCAAGTTTGTTTTATTCCAGCACTACTATTTGGATTTCAGTCAAACATTACAGAAAAAATTAAATTCATGTATTGACAATATAGTTATTATCCACAGTCATAGAGTATCCAGTTAAGAAATTCTTCATCAATTGCTTACTTAAAATATAAATAATTATATTTTTGGTGGACTGGAAAATAAACATGTATTTTATCTCACATTATTTATTGTTGTAACCTAGAGAAGGTTACTGAATAGAATAATCAAACAAAGGTTGGTAATGAATGATAATACTTAGGACAAGAACAACACGTATAAGATTTGCCAGTGGCACATAGAAGTAGTAGTCAACTGCGAGAAGTGAGTCAAGTGAATTCCACAATGAATCTCCAACTGCAGACCAACATACAGTATTTACTACTGTATTTATGTGAATGGGGACATATCCATTATCATCTGTAGGTATGCTACAAGACATAGTAAAATCTCTTTCCAATCATTTTTCATAGTGTTGTAACCTCAGGAAGGTTATTAAATAGAATAATCACACGAAGGTTGGTAATGAACAATAATACTTAGGACAAGAACACCACATACAAGATTCACCAGTGGCACATAGAAGAAATAGTCAACTGCTAGAGGTGAGTCAAGTGAATTCCACAATGATTCTCCAACTGCAGACCAACATACAGTATTTACTACTGTATTTATATGAATGGAGACATACCCATTATCGTCTGTAGGCATGCTACAACATTATAAGACAGATACAGCAGCCAAAACATTCTAATACAGATAATAGAGACAAGTTGCTTCTAATGAGTCAATATACATGATAGTCTGAAAGAATCAATTATAACGTTTTATATATTTTTACAGTTTGAATTTCAGATGCTGAAGTCTGGTTAGGAATGCAGCTTGAATCTTTACAGATATTTACTAAGTTTAGTTCAGTACATAACCAAACTGAGTGAAGTGGAACTTGAGAGATTGGGTTGCATCAGTGTCACAAGTTGAGACGATTAATTTGGTTTAATAATCAACATTTAAAATCTTGCCTTTTAACTATGATTCAAATATTGGTCACTGCTGTGAAATACATAACAATCAAGTCCAGCTTTATTACTTCATAAAAATTAAAAAAAAAAAATGAATGAAAATTCCATAATTGATTTATTGAAATGTTTATGACAAAATATGTGAAGACAAAACATGAACAATACATTATCTCAAGACAACCAGATTTTTATTTAGACCCTCACCTATTGTTCCAAATCTTTTGCCACCTGAAATGAATATTAACACCTGATATTCTGTTGACAATGCTTAGGAAGTATCCATTATAGTTTAGTCATTTTCTACAGACCTTGAACTACTATTCTTGTTACAGCCAAGAAAAACAAATCACAAGAAGAAATATATGATCAATGACAAATTAGACACTTATCAATATGTTATTGTTATAAACATTTTCAAAGTGTCACACTTAGTTAAGAAAAACTAAGAGAGTTGAGAATGAATGAAGGTATATTACTTCAGGATTATATAAGTCAGGCATGAAGCTACATATCACAAGTAAGAAAAACAGGTAAATAATCACTCATTTCCAAGAACAGAATCAATTATTAGACACCAATTTATTTGGAGGAGGCACGGTGGTGTAATGGATAGCAGCTCGGATTGAGGAATCAGAGAGCCGAGTTCAAATTCCAGTTGAATCCATTACATTCACTTATGTGCTAATACCCTTGGGAAAGGTATGAATCCACTTCTTCTCCTCCCAGCTATGGATAAGTAGCAGGACAGACCAAGTTCTATAGCCTTGGATGGCAACTGGTCTACCGCAGAAAGAAATGGCAACCTACTGCAGGAAAAAAATCTGCCTCGTCAGTCAAAGATCGCCTAAGCATGTATCACACATGGCACATAACTGACTGACACAGAATTCAAACTTGATTCACTGACCCCACTCTCTTTGCTGATAACCATTAAGCTACCCACACATCTCTAAATTTACTAAGTTTAACTATCTAAATGTACATGATCGCCTAAGCGAGTATCACGCATTTTAAGGAGGTATTACATTCACTTATGTGCAAATACCTTTGGGAAAGTTATGAATTCTCTTCTTTTCCCTTTTTCTTTTATGGGTAAATAACAGGACAGGTAATTGGATGGCAACTGGCCTACCACAGACAGAAATGGCAACCTACTGCATGAAAAAATCTGCCTCATCAGTCATGTATTGAAAGATACATGATCGCCTAGGCGTGTATCATGCATGGCATTTAACTGACTGAATGTATTTGTGCTTAATGCAACATTCAATTTGTCCATGTCAAAAGTATGAATTATGATATATGGATGGTACAAAACAATTTGTTTTCAGTTTGATAAATCAGGTTTTCTAAGACAATTTTAAAAGCTGAAGACTTCACTCTCCAAGTTATAATTAAGAGAAATGCTTGTTTTACTTGGTGACTTCAATGCCAGAACTGATTATGGAAAATGAATATGTAGATTTTCTTTTGTTTACATTAATAGCATAAAAGAAAAACAACACAGATATCAATTGTTCCTGATAAGTTTTCAATAAAAAAAAATGCTATCAAATATAGAAATATACCTGGTGGGGGGATTATTCAGTAACATTTATTTTTTTCCAGGCATACAAATATGTCTTGAGCAGACATTAATAATAAAAATGAAAGTATAGTCTTACACCAAACTAATGCAAACAGTAATTGTTACTGTAAAAGATATTTCCATGTAATAGAAAATAAATAGAGGCTCCTTTCCCGCAACAAGGTTCAATAAGTATGAATACTAAATTTGATGGTTCTATCAGGTCATCCCATAAGTTCTGTCCGAATTTTAACTTTTTGTTAAAATGAACAAAA